CTGGAGGAAATCTGGCACTGTCCTTACGGTGAAGCATGGTGGTGGCAGCATCATGCTGTGGGGATGTTTTTCAGTGGCAGGGGCTGGGAGACTAGTCAGGATTGAGGGAAAGATGAACTGAGCAAAGTACAGAGAGATACTTGATGAATACCTGCTCCAGAGCGCTCAGGACCTCAAACAGGGGCAAAGGTTCACCTTCCAACAGGACAACGACCCTAAGGTGAAGCATGGTGGTGGAAGCATCATGCTGTGGGGATGTTTTTCAGCGGCAGGGGCTGGGAGACTAGTCAGGATTGAGGGAAAGATGAACTGAGCAAAGTACAGAGAGATACTTGATTAATACCTGCTCCAGAGCGCTCAGGAACTCAAACTGGGGCGAAGGTTCACCTTCCAACAGGACAACAACCCTAAGCACACAGCCAAGACAACGCAGGACTGGCTTCGGGACAAGTCTCTGAATGTCCTTGAGTGGCCCAGCCAGAGCCCGGACTTGATCCCGATCTAACATCTCTGGAGAGACCTGAAAATAGCTGTTCAGTGACACTCTCGAGGCTGTATTCGCTGCCAAAGGTGCTTCAACAGAGTACTGAGTAAATGATCTAAATACTTATGTAAATGTAATATTTCAGTTTTTGATTGATGAGGAAAAAACAAACATTTTAATCAATTTTAGTATAAGGCTGTAACATAACAAAATCTGGAAAAAGTCAAGGGGTCTGAATACTTTCCAAATGCACTATTTATAGTTCATAAACTAGTTATGTAATTGTAAGACCCTTTTACAGTTGGTCTGTAGCTTAAACTGTTAAAGAGCTGTACCATTTATAAAACCAACCGCTTTAGGCTGCCATTGATAGCCATGTTGTTTTATGCAATTTCAAAATGTTATCATGCACAGTAATAATGTTTGGTGGCAGGACTTGTGCTATTATCATACCTTCCGGGGAAAAACCCTGGAAATGAATACCAAAAACAATGTTTTATGTGAAATATACGTTTTTATCTGAAGCCGAAAAAAACTGGAAATTCAAAAGCTAATTTGACCTATGCACTAACAAGGCTTTTCAGCATAAGCAGCTTGATTACTGCTAGAGTACTGTAGCTTTATTGATCTACTGTACTTCAAGAACAGATGTACTTACATTGGATGGGTTGATTAGGCTTCAGACCTACTCTCAAACAGCACATTCAGCATATCACCAGCAGAAGGAGTTCCCTTTGAATCTATTTACCATTCACTGTGTTGGTGGTGCTCATAAAATTGATTATCAATTCAGAAATAGAAGAGAGCCCACTGGAAATTTGTTGTACTTGTAGAGTAGGCCTATGAGCAAGATGGCGCCGACAGACATGGCAGCTCTGCTTCTAGCTCCTAAGCAACTTTGCAGTATTTAGTTTTTTTGTGTATTATTTCTTACATTATTAGCCCAGAATGTTTTTTTGTGTTATTACATACAGCCGGAAATAACTTTTGGATATCAGAGCGGCGTTAACTCACCAGCATTACGATCAGGAATACGACTTTCCTGAATTGGATCCTTTGTTCGTAACCCACAGGGCAATTGAAATTATCCCAGAGGCTGCTCCAAATCGCCGCCGGCGGAGAAGAGGTATTTGGAGTGGACTTCTAGTCCGACTCCTGGGGCGTGCACACCATCCACTGCTTCAGAGTATATTACTCGCTAATGTTCAGTCTCTAGACAATAAAGTAGACGAGCTCAGGGCGAGGATCTCTTTCCAGAGAGACATCAGGGACTGTAACATACTCTGTTTCACTGAATCATGGCTCTTTCGGGATATACTGTCCCTGTCCATACAGCCAGCTGGGTTCTCAGTTCATCGCGCAAACAGGAATAAAGAACTCTCCGGGAAGAAGAAAGGCGGTGGTGTATGCTTCATGATTAACTACTCATGGTGTGATTGTCATAACATACAGAAACTCAAGTCCTTTTGTTCACCCAACCTAGAATACCTCACAATCAAATGCCGACCAAATTACCTCCCAAGAGAATTCTCTTTGGTTATAGTCACAGCCGTGTATTTTCCCCCTCAAGCCGATACCACAATGGCCCTCAAGGAACTACACTGGACTTTATGCAAACTAGAAACCACATATCCTGAGGCCACATTTATTGTAGCTGGGGATTTTAACAAAGGAAATTTGAGGAAAACGCTACCAAAGGTCTATCAACACATTGACTGTGGTACTTGTTTAGGGAGATCACTGCTACTCACCTTTTTGAGATGCCTACAAGGCCCTCCCCCACCCTCCCTTCGGCAAATCAGATCAAGACTCCATTTTGCTCCTCCCTTCCTATAGGCAGAAACTCAAACAGGAAGTACCCGTGTTAAGGTCTATTCAACGCTGGTCTGACCAATCGTATCCATGCTTCAAGATTGTTTTGATCACGCGGACTGGGATTTGTTCCGGGTAGCCTCTGAGAATAACATTGACGCTTACACGGACACGGAGACTGAGTTCATCAGGAAGTGTATAGGGGATGTTGTTCCAAAGGTGACTATTAAAACCTACCCAAACCAGAAACCGTGGATAGATGGCAGCATTCGCGAAAACTGAATGAGCGAACCACCGCATTTAACCATGGCAAGGTGACTGGGAAATTGGTTGAATACAAACAGTGCAGTTATTCCCTCCGTAAGGCAATCAAACAGGCAAAATGTCAGTACAGAGACAAAGTGGAGTCGCAATTCAACGGCTCAGACACGAGACGTATGTGGCAGGGTCTACAGGCAATCACGTATTACAAAGGCAAAACCAGTCACGTCGCGGATACCGACGTATTGCTCCCAGACAAGCTAAGCACCTTCTTCGCCCGCTTTGAGGATAACACAATGCCACCGACGCGGCCCGCTCCCAAGGACTGTGGGCTCTCGTTCTCCGTGGCCGACGTGAGTAAAACATTTAAGCGTGTTAACCCTCGAAGGCTGCCGGCCCAGACGGCATCCCTAGCCGCGTCCTCAGAGCATGCGCAGACCAGCTGGCTGGAGTGTTTACGGACATATTAAATCTCTCCCTATCCCAGTCTGTTGTCCCCACTTCCTTCAAGATGTCCACCATTGTTCCTGTACCCAAGAAAGCAAAGGTGACTGAACTAAATGACCATCGCCCCATAGCACTCAGTTCTGTCATCATGAAGTGCTTTGAGAGGCTAGTTAAGGATCATATCACCCTTACCTTACCTGACACCCTAGACCCACTTCAATCGACATCACACTGCCCTATCCCATCTGGACAAGAGGAATACCTACATCAGAATGCTGTTCATTGACTATAGCTCAGCCTTCAACCCCATAGTACCCTCCAAGCTCATCATTAAGCTCGAGGCCCTGGGTCTGAACCCCGCCCTGTGCACCTGGGTCCTGGACTTCCTGACTGGCCGCCCCCAAGTGGTGAAGGTAGGAAACAACACCTCCACTACGCGGATCCTCAACACAGGGCCCCCACGAGTGCGTGCTTAGCCACCTCCTGTACTCCCTGTTCACCCATGACTGCGTGGCCAAGCACGCCTCCAACTCAATCATCAAGTTTGCAGACGACACAACAGTTGTAGGCCTGATTACCAACAATAACGAGACAGCCTACAGGGAGGAGGTGAGGGCCCTGGCAGAGTGGGACCAGGAAAATAACCTCTCTCTCAACGTCAACAAAATGAAGGAGCTGATTGTGGACTTCAGGAAACAGCAGACGGAGCACGCCCTTATCCACATCAACGGAACCGCAGTGGAGAAGGTGGAAAGGTTCAAGTTCCTCGGCGTACACATCACTGACAATCTGAAATGGTCCACCCACACAGACAGTGTGGTGAAGAAGGCGCAACAGCGCCTCTTCAACCTCAGGAGGCTGAAGAAATTCGGCTTGGCCCCTAAGACCCTCAGAAACTTTTACAGATGCACAATTGAGAGCATCCTGTCGGGCTGTATCACCGCCTGGTACGGCATCTGCACCGCCCGCAACCGCAGGGCTCTCCAGAGGGTGGTACGGTCTGCCCAACGGATCACCGGGGGCACACTGCCTGCCCTCCAGGACACCTACAGCACCTGATGTCACATGAAGGCCAAAAAGATCATCAAGGACATCAACTACCCGAGCCACGGCCTGTTCACCCTGCTATCATCCAGAAGGCGAGGTCAATACAGGTGCATCAAAGCTGAGACGAGAGACTGAAAAACAGTTCTATCTCAAGGCCATCAGACTGTTAAATAGCCATCACTAGCCGGGTACCAATTTAGAGGCTGCTGCCCTATATACATAGACTTGGAATCACTGGCTACTTTAAATAATGTAACACTAGTCACTTTAATAATGTTTACATACTGCTTTACACATCTCATATGTATATACTGTATTCTATTCTACTGTATTTAGTCAATGCCACTCCGACATTGCTTGTCCTAATATTTATATTACTATATTTCTTAATTCCATTCTTTTACTTTTAGATTTGTGTATATTGTTGTGAATTGTTAGATACTACTGCACTGTTGGAGCTAGGAACACAAGCATTTCGCTACACCCGCAATAATATCTGCTAAATATGTGTGTGACCAATACAATTTTATTTTATTTTATTTGAAATTGAACCAAACAATATTTCTTTAAATTAACAAAATCAAAAAGGGTAGTTTTGCAATATTCATATTCATATTTTTTATGTTGAATAAATTGATGTGAACATTTGTATTTCAGAATCTAGACATACTTCATATGTTAGAACACACTATAAGGAGTATGTCACCAATATGTTGTCTGTATCATGTACGGTTCACAGATCGTAAGGTCTTACAGGAGGCATGTCTACGTCTAAAAATGTCATCATGATAAAAAAAATAATAATAATGGTTTGTGATACAAATGTAAAAAGCATGATAAACATTCTTCCTCCCAATATAGTTCAAATGTCTGAGTTTTGAATCTGTGCAAAATTCCAATGCCTGGGTTTTGAATCTGTGCATGGTTGAGCGCAGACTCCACTGCTAGCATGGTGGACCACCGTGTCAGACTCAACAAGATGTGCGCTGCAAGGCTAATTATGTAAAGCAAACAGGAATAACTAGAGCAGTCCTGTTTCTTCCAGTATGATGACGCACACACACACACGTAAATTCTGTCTTGGCACTGCTGCTTTTACCCGTATCTAAGTGATTGCATTGTCTCCATGGAAGAATAGTGCAGTGCCGTGTGATCATGTGACTGACAGGCAACAAGGCATATCCACAGAGTAAAGCACACAAGCCCAGCACAGATTTTAAATATGCAAGTGGTATGGCAAAGCCAGAATCCCCAGGCACGATGTGTATAAAAACGTGTCAATGTTTCTCTCCTGACACAGCAAAGGTCCAGCACCCCGTCAAAGCTCCACCATCTTATCCACCATCCATAGATGAGGTCCCCGAAGGGCCGTAGAGGAAGGGTTAGCCACGACCCAGTTCTCCAGTCAGTAATCTATATCTATCTTTCCTCGTATTCCTCAGTGAAGGCTCCTACCCTTATGACCCTGTGTCCTGGCAGCAAGGCAGCAATCAGCCGGCAGGCTCCTTGTCTGTGGTAACTACTGTGTGGGGGGTGACCAATCCTTCACCCAGCCAGGTATGAATGGACCCGTGACTCCATGAAAGCAAACATTATGGTTGCATCCCAATGTAGTGCACTTCTTTTGACCAGGGCCCATAGCACCCTATTCCCTATGTGGTGCACTACCCAAAGGGCACCCTATTTCCTATGTAGAGCACTACTTTTGCCAAAGGCCCTGATCAAAAGTAGTGCACTACATAGGGAATAGGGTGCCATTTGGGACGCGTGCTACAGCTGCAATACAATGTCACCCTATCTTTCCTCCGCTTCCACCACAGGGCGATAGATCAATATTCCAATACAATAATTATCCTGTATTGTAACTAGGTTAATAGTGATTCAACTCATAACACTCGTCTGTTTGTTTCTCCTCCCCCTCTCAGGGCCTGGGTGGGAACCCGATGGGTCCAGGTGGGAACTCTGGCAGGGGCCACATGATTCGCGGCAACATCCCTGGGATGGGCCAGCAGTTTATGAGTCAACAGGGATACCCAGAGCCCAACAAGGCCTACATGCATCAGGGCATGTACGGCAGGGGCAACGGGGGCTACCCAGCTGGACCTGGCTACGGGGGAAGGTAAGCATCAGACAGGCAGACACAGCCCCCGGTGACACTGTAATCACTATGCACCATACTTTTTTGAATAGCTGGAACCATTCCCTTTGAGCACAGGGACATGAGTACAAACCAAAACAGAATGAATTGGCTGTCAGTCATACACTACCAGTCAAAAGTTTGGACACACCTACTCATTCATGGGTTTTTCTTTATTTTTACTGTTTTACATTGTAGAATAATAGTGAAGACATCAAAACTATGAAATAACACATGGAATCATGTAGTAACCAAAAAAGTGTTAAACAAATCAAAATTATGTTATATTTGAGATTCTTCAAATAGCCACCCTTTGCCTTGATGACAGCTTTGCACACTCTTGGCAATTCTCTCAACCAGCTTCACCTGAATGCTTTTCCAACAGTCTTGAAGGAGTTCCCACATATGCTGAGCACTTGTTGGCTGCTTTTCCTTCACTCTGCTGTCCGACTCATCCCAAACCATCTCAATTTGGTTGAGGTCGGGGGATTGTGGGGGCCAGGTCATCTGATGCAGCACTCCATCACTTTCCTTCTTAGTAAAATAGCCCTTACACAGCCTGGAGGTGTGTTGGGTCATTGTCCTGTTGAAAATTCTAAATTGAATTCTAAATAAATCACTGACAGTGTCACCAGCAAAGCACCCCCACACCATAACACCTCCAGCCCTTAATGCTTTATGGTGGGAAATACATATGCGGAGATCATCCGTTCACCCACACCACGTCTCACAAAAACAGAGGTTTGAACCAAAAATCTCAAATTTGGACTCCAGACCAAAGGACAAATTTCCACCGGTCTAATGTCCATTGCTCGTGTTTCTTGGCCCAAGCAGGTCTCTTCTTCTTATTGGTGTCCTTTAGTAGTGGTTTCTTTGCAACAATTCGAACATGAAGGCCTGATTCACACAGTCCCCTCTGAACAGTTCATGTTGAGATGTGTCTGTTAGTTGAACTCTGAAGCATTTATTTGGGCTGCAATTTCTGAGGCTGGTAACTCTAATGAACTTATCCTCTGCAGCAGAGGTAACTCTGGGTCTTCCTTTCCTGTGGCGGACCTCATGAGAGCCAGTTTCAACATAGCGCTTGATTGTTTTGCGACTGCACTTGAAGAAACTTTCAAAGTTCTTGAAATTTTCCGGATTGACTGACCTTCATGTCTTAAAGTAATGATGGACTGTCATTTCTCTTTGCTTATTTGAGCGGTTCTTGTCATAATATGGACTTGGTCTATCTTCTGTATACCCCCCCAACCTTGTCACAACACAACTGATTGGCTCAAACGGATTAAGAAGGAAATACATTTCACAAATTAACTTTTAAGAAGGCACACCTGTTAATTGAAATGCATTCCATGGGACTACCTCATGAAGCTGGTTGAGAGAATGCCAAGAGTGTGCAAAGCTATCATCAAGGCAAAGGGAGGCTATTTGAAGAATCTCAAATATAAAATATTTTTTGATTTGTGTAACACTTTTTTGGTTACTACATGATTCCATGTGTTATTTCATAGTTTCGATGTCTTCACTATTATTCTACAATGTAAAAAATAGTCAAAATAATGAAAAACCCTTGAATGAGTAGGCGTGTCCAAACTTTTGACTGGTACTGTAAATGTTGTATAGTAGTCCTCCAATAGTCTTTGTTTTGATCACGCGGACTGGGATATGTTCCGGGTTGCCTCTGAGAATAACATTGACCTATACACTGACACAGTGACTGAGTTCATCAGGAAGTGTATAGGGAATGTTGTTCCCACTGTGACGATTAAAACCTATCCAAAACCAAAAACCGTGGATAGATGGCAGCATTCGCGCAGAACTGAAAGCGCGAATCACCGCATTTAACCAGTCCAGTTATGCCCTCCGTAAGGCAATCAAACAGGCAAAACATCAGTACAGAGACTATAGGATAGGTTTTAAAGACAGAGACAAAGTGGAGTCGCAATTCAATTTGATTTTTAAATAGTGAAGACGATGATGGTTTCTGTTTGCATGCAACAGCTTATTGTTTTACAGGGGGAAAATGTACCTGTTTGTGAAATACTGTATTTTCAGCTTGCCCTATTTTGAAGCAACCTTTTCTCTGCCCCCTCAGTTACCCCAATAACGGAGGGGGGTCTATGGGCATGCCCCCTCACAGCATCCACCCTCAAACCGACTTCACACAGGCGGCGGTGGCAGCAGTGGCCACAGCGGCTGCCACAGCAACGGCCACTGCCACGGCAACAGTTGCTGCCATCCAGGAGAAGCAGAACCAGGAGATGAATTATGGCCAGGTAAGGAGGGAGGGCAGCCATGTTAGTACATGCTCTAGGGTGAAGTTTCCCCTAGGTACAGATTTAGGATCAGCTTCCCCCAAATCCTGACCGTAACCATTATTGGGGGAAATGCAACACTGACCCAAGATCAGCATCTAGGGGCAACTTCACCCTACACCGTAGTGCATACTGTTTGTAGTAGGACATTATCTTCTCAGGATGACCACAAGCCAGGGTTTGAGACACATACGCCTTAAGGGAGTTGCCTGCCAGACCCATGTATTGTGCTAAATAATCCTACGAAAATGGTGGCCTCTCTGTGGGTCAGTGTGGATACTGCACCCCCTGCTGGTGGTAGGAGTTAGTGGCTTTTGTCATGTTAAACTGAGGGAAGTTATTTGACTTTGCAACACTGCTCCTTTATTAGGGACATCACTCAACATGGACTGTATTTATACATTATTATAACCATGTAACCAAGAGAAAACATAGAACAGAGAACATCGAAGTGACAACTGTTTGTGACATCTCAAACTTGACATCCCCCATGTCATGCCCACACTAACCTAGAGTACTTTTCAGATGGGTGGTGGTGTGGACTACAACAGCCAGTTCATGCAACACCTGGGCACCAGGGGTCCCCTTGGCATGTCTCCGGCAGGTATGGGTCCCGCTCGTCCCCCGTCCATGGGGCCCATGTACGGGGCCCCTCAGGTCCAGAGGATGCCTCAGCATCCAGGCTACACCGGGGCTCAGCAGGGACCCCCCAGGCCGCAGCAGGGACTCAAACGCCCATACAGCGCTGAGGTGAGTGTCTCACGGCGAAGGACCTCACCTACTTTTAATGCAAACCTTTTGTAGACTGACAGCCATAAGTTGAAAATATACCGTGTGAATTATAATACTATGTTAACACCAACATAGTAAATCCATAGTAATATTTCATTTTATTGAGCTTGAGCTTGTGTTAATATTGACTTTGCCGTAATGTAGTTTGTGGTTACACTATCCAACATGACCAACATGGGCCATTCTCTTATAATAGCAAGGTATTCCTTCACATTTTTAGTAATCGCTAGTCTCTAATAAACGCTGGATATTAAGTGTAGCCTAATTTCATGAGCCTAAAACTCAAGTAAGCTCAACTTTCTTATTTGGTGAGGTTTAGCTCAGTAATGTTATAGCTTTAATTTGTTTGTATCCTTATCATACCACAAATGTATTGTGTGCCCAGATTTGTTTTGAGGTCAACATATATGCTTCCAATTTTGCACTCTCTGTGTCCCTCCCTCAGGGGTTTCCCGGGCAGCAGTATGGTCCAGGCATGGTGGGCCCTGGCCCTGCTCCTGGTCAGAGCCCCTATCCTGGGCAGCCCATGCAGTACCACGGCGGTCCGGGGCCCCAGCGCCCAGACACCTCCCCATCCTACCAAGGCCACAAGATGCCAATCCAGCAGGGCAACATGGGCCAGTACCCGTCGGGACCAGCCAACCCAGGACAGGAGAACAAGGTAACGCTTCCTACGCTGTCCAGTGTTCACCATCTGTTGACCCCCTATTCCTGTCTGTCTGTTTCACAGCCTGGTGGCCTGTGCTGTATGCACACTCACTATGTGTGTGTATTGATGTTAACTGGAGTCCTGAGGACAAATCAGTCTTGTTGTGTGCTTTGCCATTCAGTCGGAACAGTTCAACGGGCAGGGCAACACTCTGAATGCGAACGGGGGAGCTTACAACACCTTCAACCAGGCTGCAGTCAATAGGGTGAGAGAAAGAGACACACACACACACACACACACACACACACACACAGCTCATTCTACCTTCATCATGTATTTGTGTAACCTGGTGTCAGATCTGGTTGTGCAGACTCTCCAATGACCATAGGAGTTGGCAAGACATCACAAACAGATCTGCGGAGATATCGTGGACATACAGTTGAAGTCGGACGTTTATATACACCTTAGCCAAATACATTTAAACTCAGTTTTTCACAATTCCTGATATTTAATCCTAGTAAAGATTCCCTGTCTTAGGTCAGTTAGGACCACCACTTTATTTTAAAAAATGTGAAATGTCAGAATAATAGTAGAGAGAATGATTTATTTCAACTTTTATTTATTTCATCACATTCCCAGTGGGTCAGAAGTTTACATACGCTCAATTAGTATTTGGTAGCATTGCTTTTAAATTGTTTAACTTGGGACAAATGTTTCGGGTAGCCTTCCACAAGCTTCCCACAATAAGTTGGGTGAATTTTGGCCCATTCCTCCTGACAGAGCTGGTGTAACTGACTCAGGTTTATAGGTCTCCTTGCTCGCACACACTTTTTCAGTTCTGCCCACAAATTTTCCATAGGATTGAGGTCAGGGCTTTGTGATGGCCACTCCAATACCTTGACTTTGTTGTCCTTAAGCCATTTTGCCACAACTTTGGAAGTATGCTTGGGGTCATTGTCCATTTGGAAGACCCATTTGCGAGTAAGCTTTAACTTCCTGACTGATGTCTTGAGATGTTGCTTCAATATATCCACATAATTTTCCTTCCTCATGATGCCATCTATTTTGTGAAGAGCACCAGTCCCTCCTGCAGCAAAGCACCCCCATAGCATGATGCTGCCACCCCTGTGCTTCACGGTTGGGATGGTGTTCTTCAGCTTGCAAGCTTCCCCTTTTTTCCTCTAAACATAACAATGGTCATTATGGCCAAACAGTTCTATTTTTGTTTCATCAGACCAGAGGAAATTTTTCCAAAAAGTATGATCTTTGTCCCCATGTGCAGTTGCAAATCGTAGTCTGGCTTTTTTATGGCAGTTTTGGAGCAGTGGCTTCTTCCTTGCTGAGCGGCCTTTCAGGTTATGTCGATATAGGACTCGTTTTACTGTGGATATAGATACTTTTTTACCTGTTTCCTCCAGCATCTTCACAAGGTCTTTTGCTGCTGTTCTGGGATTGATTTGCACTTTTCGCACCAAAGTACTTTCATCTCTAGGAGACAGAACGCGTGTCCTTCCTGAGCGGTATGACGGCTGCGTGGTCACATGGTGTTTATACTTGCGTACTATTGTTTGTACAGATGAACGTGGTACCTTCAGGCGTTTGGAAATTGCTCACAAGGATGAACGAGGTCTACAATTTTCTTTTTGAGGTCTTGGCTGATTTCTTTTGATTTTCCCATGATGTCAAGCAAAGAGGCACTGAGTTTGAAGGTAGGCCTTGAAATACATCCACAGGTACACCTCCAATTGATTCAAATGATGTCAATTAGCCTATCAGAAGCTTCTAAAGCCATGACATAATTTTCTGGAATTTTCCCAGCTGTTTAAAGGCACAGTCTACTTAGTGTATGTAAAATTCTGACCCACTGGAATTGTGATACAGTGAATTATAAGTGAAATAATCTGTCTGTAAACAATTGTTGGAAAAATTACTAGTTTGTTAACAAGACATTTGTGGAGTGGTTGAAAAACTAGTTTTAATGACTCTAACCTAAGTGTATGTAAACTTCCGACTTCAACTGTAGGTCTGGGTGCCTTGTAAGGAACCGACGGCGAGCGAGTAAACTGCCTCTTCCATCAATCCTATTAGCCAATGTTCAATCATTTGCCAGCTTGTCCTACCAACGGGACATAAAAAACTGTAATATCTTATGTTTCACCAAGTCGTGGCTGAACGACGACATGGACAACATACAGCTGGCGGGATATACGCTACATTTGCTGGATAGAACAGCTGACTCCCGTAAGACAAGGGGTGGCGGTCTGTGCATATTTGTAAACAACAGCTGCTGCATAAAATATAATACTAAGGAAGTCTCGAGGTTTTGCACGCCTGAGGTAGAGTATCTCATGATAAGCTGTAGACCACACTATTTATCATCTATATTTTTCGTAGCTGTCTATTTACCACCACAAACCGATGCTGGCACTAAGATTGCACTCAATGAGCTGTATAAGGCCATAAGCAAACAGGAAAATGCTCATCCAGAGGCAGCGCTCCTAGTGGCCGGGGACTTTAATGCAGGGAAACTTAAATCAGTTCTACCTAATTTCTACCAGCATGTTAAATGTGCAACCAGAGGATAAAAAACTATATCCTCCTGATTCCTGCTTATAAGCAAAAACTAAAGTAGGAAGCACCAGTGACTTGGTTAATAAGGAAGTGGTCAGATGACGCAGATGCTAAGCTACAGGACTGTTTTGCTAGCACAGACTGGAATATGTTCCGGCATTCTTCCGATAGCATTGAGGAGTACACCACATCAGTCACTGGCTTCATCAATAAGTGCATCGATGACGTCGGCCCCACAGTGACCGTACGTACATACCCCAACCAGAAGCCATGGATTACAGGCAACATCCACACTGAGCTAAAGGGTAGAGCTGCCGCTTTCAAGGAGCAGGACTCTAACACGTATAAGAAATCCCGCTATGCCCTCTGACGAACCATCAAACAGGCAAAGAGTCAATACAGGATTAAGATTGAATCGTACTACCCCAGCTCCGATGCTGGTCGGATGTGGCAGGGCTTGAAAACTATTACAGACTACAAAGGGAAGCACAGCCGTGAGCTGCCCAGTGACGCAAGCCTACCAGACGAGCTAAATCACTTCTATGCTCACGTCGAGGCAAGCAACACTGAAGCATGCATGAGAGCATCAGCTGTTCCGGATGACTATGTGATCACGCTCTCCGTAGCCGATGTGAGTAAGACTTTTAAGCAGGTCAACATTCACAAGGCCGCAGGGCCAGACGAATTACCAGGACGTGTACTCCGAGCATGCGCTGACCAACTTGCAAGTGTCTTCACTGACATGTCCCTGACTGAGTCTGTAACATATTTTTTACTTAACATTTTATTTTGTATTTTCTTAAAACTGCATTGTTGGTTAAGGGCTTGTAAGTAAGCATTTCACTGTAAGGTCTACACCTGTTGTATTCGGCGCATGTGGCAAATAAAATTTGATTTGATTTGACCAGACTCATCTTTGGGTGTAGAGATGTTGACCTATTCCTAACCCTGCTCTCCTTGTCTTTGTGTCCCAGCTTGGCAGGCCAATGCCTGGTTATCCAAGCTCTCCCCTTCCTGGAAACCCAACCCCTCCCATAACCCCGGGGAGTGCAGTGCCCCCCTACATATCCCCTGGCCATGACGTCAAGCCCTCCTTCCTGCCTGACATCAAACCAAACATGAACTCCCTACCGCCACCACCCCCCACAGGTAAACCCCAACATGACTCATGCACACACACATAATTTGCTTTGGAAATTCCCTGTCTCTCAGTGTAGTCTTTGGTTTCACAGTTTTATCTCCAGAAAACAGAGACCAGTGTTGTGTGTTTGGACGGTCTAACAATGAGACATGATGACTGATTGATTGCGCCTGGAACTCCACAGGTAACCCTAGCAATGACCTGCGGCTGACCTTCCCTGTACGAGACGGCGTGGTGCTGGAGCCTTTCCGCCTGGAGCACAACCTGGCCGTCAGCAACCACGTCTTCCAGCTGCGCGACTCTGTTTACAAGACCCTCATGATGAGGTCCAAGCTCCTCTGCCCTGCATTTAATATACTGTAATGTACTATGCTATGCTGTACTAAACTACTATAGAGATTATTTGGCTCGTGTGTGTGTGAGGGTTTCCATTAGCCGGTAATAGCCAGCTTTTGTCAGAGGAAAATATTTAATTAGCGCCGGCCAATTGTCCAGGAGAAGAAGAAAAAATCCCATTGCGAAATAATGCTTTTGAGCCTATTCATTAATGGAAATACCAGTTGATTTAAATAGCCTATATTTGACTGGTCATTCTTATCAGTCTATAGGTTAATTTGCATAATTTAGTGGAATTAAATTGCTGCATGTATATTCAGTATATTCGTTATGCATCATATTTATCACACGAGTACACCATACAGATACAGAACCTTTACGTGGAAAATCTGTCAGACGGCACGAGAGCTGCTGCTACAGCATCTCAAACAGCAAATGCATAGACAACGGAAGGCAGGCTTCAGCTCACTTTGTAATGAGCTGGAGGCAGTATGCATTTTGAAAACATATACTTAATTGTTTGAAACCTAAACGTTTTACTACATATTATGAGGCATGTCTTACCTTGCTTCAAAGTATCCTAGCCAAAATCAGACCATATCCATGGAGGCAATGGCCAAAAGGATGTGACGTCTGCTGATGTAAAAAGGGCTTTATAAATACATTTGATTGATTGATTGATTGATGGATGTGGACACCCCTTCAAATTAGTGGATTCAGCTATTTCAGCCACATCCGTTGCTGACAGGTGTATAAAATCAAGCGCACAGCCTGCAATCTCCACAGACAAACATTGGCAGTAGAATGGCCCATACTGAAGAGCTCAGTGACTTTTTAATGTGGCACCTTCATAGGATGCCACCTTTCCAACAAGTCAGTTTGTCAAATTTCTGCCATGCTACAGCTGCCCCGGTCAACTGTAAGTGCTGTTACTGTGAAGTGGAAACATCTAGGAGCAACAACGGCTCAGCAGCGAAGTGGTAGGCTACACAGAACAGGACCGCCGAGTGCTGAAGCGCGTAGCGTGTACAAATTGTCTGTCCTTGGTTGCAACACTCACTACCGAGTTCCAAACTGCCTCTGGAAGCAACGTCAGCACAAGAACTGTTCGTTGGGAGCTTCATGAAATGGGTTTCCATGGCCGAGCAGCCGCACTCAAGCCTAAGATCACCATGCGCAATGCCAAACATCGGCTGGAGTGGTGTAAAGCTCGCCACCATTGGACTCTGGAGCAGTGGAAACGCGTTTTCTGGAGTGATGAATCACGCTTCACCATCTGGCAGTCCGACGGACGAATATGGGTTTTGGCGGATGCCAGGAGAACGCTACCTGCCCAAATGCATAGTGCCAACTGTAGAGTTAGGGGGAGGAGGATAATGGTTCGGGCTAGGCCCCTTAGTTCCAGTGAAGGGAAATCTTAACACTACAGCATACAATGACATTCGAGATGATTCTGTGCTTCCAACTTTGTGGCAACAGCTTGGGGAAAGCCCTTTCCTGTTTCAGCATGACAATGCCCCCGTGCACAAAGCGAGGTCCATACAGAAATGGTTTGTCGAGATTGGTGTGGAAGAACTTGACTGGCCTGCACCGAGCCCTGACCTCAACCCCATCGAACACCTTTGGGATGAATTGGAACGCCGACTGCGAGCCAGGCCTAATCGCCCAACATCAGTACCCAACCTCACTAATGCTCTTGTGGCTGAATGGAAGCGAGTCCCCGCAGCAATGTTCCAATATCTAATGGAAAGCCTTCCCAGAAGATTGGAGGCTGTTATAGCAGCAAAGAAGGGACCAACTCCATATTATTGCCCATGATTTTGGAATGAGATGTTCAGTCCACACACTTTTGGCCATGCAGTGTAATTAATATCAACTTTCTTTCGTTGTTCAGCAGCCAAAGGCACAATCCTAGTCATAAGCTAACCAATGCTAGGTGTTGCATATTAGGTCTTTCCTCTATCTAAATTTCTAATGGATATTTTATCTCTGGCACATGAAAACTGTGTTTTCCCACTAAGTGCATTATGGAACAAACATTTGCGCGTAGCCTGCTGCCTTGTGCACATTGCTGCGCTTATAACGTGAATAAATAATAGTTTATCAACATTTTATGCTAAACGTCCTGATCTGTTGCTTTTTAACAAGTGGTTGTATGAATTTGGGATCTATTGTCCCACAACTGTCCCAGAGTCTGTTTGGAATAGGCAATTTCTTTCTTGATAAGTTGGCCAATAGATTAGGTAAACTTTTGTAATATGGGGGATAATAGATTGACATAGGCTAGTGATTTTGCTGTTTGTTACTCGTCTAGTTGGCTGAGGAAAAGTAAATGTGGACAGTTAACATCTTCAAAGTGCGGATCAGAATTTGGTAAGAAGGACCGCACATTGTTGCATCCTCGACTTTCATGTTCTGTTTATATGAATTACCGTGATTTCTGTCATTCTGTCTGGTGCCACATTTTCCTAACGGAAACCCTGATGTGTGTGTAACCATACGCAGGCCTGACCTGGAGCTCCAGTTTAAGTGTTACCACCACGAGGACCTTCAGATGAACACCAACTGGCCAGTGTCAGTGCAAGTGAGCGTCAACGCCACGCCCCTCACCATCCAGCGCGGCGACAATAAGACTTCCCACAAGCCCCTGTACCTGAAGCAAGTGTGCCAGCCTGGGAGGAACACCATACAGATCACTGTCACCGCCTGCTGCTGTGTGAGTGTCCTGCAACCACGCTCGCGCACACACACACCTCCGTTGAATGGAGTCTCACCATTGTAACCACCATTGCAAGTGTCACGTCACATCAAACCTGTAGCCCTCTATATACAGACAAGTGTTCACTATTGCAATGGTAATTTCTAATCCTAAACATCTTTCCATCTCTTTTTCTCCTTCTCTCTACCTCCCTCCCCCTCTCTACCTGCAGTCTCACCTGTTTGTGCTCCAGCTGGTCCACCAGCCGTCAGTGCACTCAGTGCTGCAGGGTTTGATGAAGAAGAGGCTGTTGCCACCGGAACACTGTGTTACTAAGAGTGAGTAGTGGAGCATTTATGTATTGAACCTTTATTTTACCAGTCCCATTGAGATATATCATCTCTTTTTGCCGTTGGAACTAGGACTACCACTCAGGGATGCAAACTCGTCACTTCAGAGCGTGATGTCATATCAGAAGGAGTGCTTTATCCAATGTCACGTGTGACTGCAGTGATCAGCCAGCTGCATGCCCTAACCAGCCAATAGCCTACTCAGCTGCTTCTCTACGTAATGGCGAGCTGTGGTGTGCAGAGAGTGATTGGGCTTCTGTTACATTTGTTTAATTATTGGAGCAGCTCGCAGCGCGAGCGTAGTGGATAGATTGTATATTTTAATTTAGCCTGTAAGAACATACCACAGGCCAGTCTGACTAGGCTTCGCTGTCACGCAGCCTGTGAGTGCCACTGCCTGCCATAGGAATAATTGAGCATAGTGACTGTCATGCTTGCGCTTTTACATCGTTGGAAACTGCGTGTCTTATTCTTTAGCACTCATCTCCTCTTACACCATTTAAGCTAGAAATGCTGTTCAAACTTTAAAACGTGTAGACTGATCTGGACTAAGTTGCTTGCATTCAACCTTTTTATATCTTGTATACTTTTTAAACAAATCAACTTTTTGTCCTTTTTGCCTGTCTTCATTCACTTTCATGGGACTTTGTTTCAACATTCTAAATCTCCCCATTGTGAAATCACTTCCAGCATTCCATTCACTGTAAATGCAACAATGCAACTTTTGACACAAATCAGCTACTTTTACCACTTTGACAAAAACCTTGACAAAAGTTAGAGTATATGAAATCTTCCTCTACTTCTCTGCTATTCAAATTTGTTCACCGAACGATAGTATATGTAATGGATCTAACGATACAGCTCTTTTAGTAACTGCATTAACACATTTCTTCCTACTTTTTCCAAACCACTGCCATTTTGACCACTACCCCAACAAGTCAGACAAAAACTTAGAGCGTATGAAATCTTCCTGTACTTCATTGGTTTTCAAATATGAATAGCTTCTACCAATCAATAGATAGAGCTGTTTTAGTAACCCATCAAATGCTCTCTTCATAGATGCAGTAAGTCATGTCATGTCAGCTAGCAGATAAATTATTTACCAACAACCGCTGCAAATTCCAATAAAACTCAACTAATGACCACAACCACACAACTGGTGATCACTACTGACCACAACTACCAACCACAGCTACTGAATACAACCACACAACTACTGACCACAACTACTGAACCAAACAACTACATACCAAAACTACTGACCGCAACCACACAACTACTGACCACAACTGCTGACCACAACTACTGCTCTGGGCTGCACTAGCTCTGGTCCTGGGTGTAAATAGCTATCTCTGTCTCGCACTAGCTATGGTCTAGCTCTGGTCTGTGCTATAAATTATAACTACTTAAATATGCATACATTAGCATAATTCCTACCAACAATTAATCAATCAATCAAATGTATTTATAAAGCCATTTTAACATCAGCAGATGTAACAAAGTGCTATACAGAAACCCAGCATAAAACCCCAAACAGCAAGCAATGCAGATGTAGAAGCACGGTGGCTAGGAAAAACTCCTTAGAAAGGCAGAAACCTAGAGAGGAACCAGTCCCCTTCTGGCTGTGCCGGGTGGAGGTTATAACAGTACTTAGCCATTAAGGCCAGAATTTTCTCCAAGATGTGCAAACATTCATAGATGACCTGCAGGCTAAAATAATAATCACAGTGGTTGTAGAGGTTGCAACAGGTCAGTACATCAGGAGTAAATGTCACTTGGCTTTTCATAGCCGGGCATTTAGAGGTTGAGATAGCAGGTGCGGTAGAGAGAGAGAGTTGAAAACAGCAGGTCTGGAACAAGGTAGCACGTCCGGTTAACCAGGCCGCAGGCAGAAGAGTTGAAACTGGAGCAGCAGCACAACCAGGTGGACTGGGGACAGCAAGGAGTCATCAGGCCAGGTAGTCCTGAGGCATGGTCCTAGGGCTCAGGTCGTCCGGGAGGGGAGGGAGAGAGCGAGAGTGAGAGAATTAGAGGGAGCATACTTAAATTCACACAGGACACCGGATAAGACAGGAGAATAACACCAGAAAAAATAGACTGACCCTAGCCCCCCTGCACATGGACTATTGCAGCATAGATTCTGGAGGCTGAGACAGGGGGGGTCGGGAGACACTGTGGCCCCGTCCAACTATACCCCCGGACAGGGCCAACCAGGCAGGATATAACCCCACCCACTTTGCCAAAGCACAGCCCCTAAACCACCAGAGGGATAGCAACAGACCACCAACCTACTACCCTGAGATAAGGCTGAGTATAGCCCACGAAGATCTCCTCCACTGCACGAGCCTGAGGGGGCGACAAACCGGACAGGAAGACAACGTCAGTGACTCAACCCAGTCAAGTGACGCACCCCTCCTAGGGATGGCATGGAAAGCACCAGTAAGCCAGTCACTCAGCCCCCGTAATAGGGTCAGAGTCAGAGAATCCCAATGGAGAGATGGGAACCGGCCAGGCAGAGACAGCAAGGGCGATTTGTCGCTCCAGTGCCTTTCCGTTCACCTTCGCACCCCTAGTTGTGGTCAGTAGTTGTGGTTAGTTGGTGTGTGGTTGTATTCAGTAGCTGCGGTCGGTAGTTGTGGTCAGTAGTGATCAGCAGTTGTGGGGTTGTGGTCGTTAGTTGTTTGGTCAGTAGTTTTTTTCTCTCAGTGGTTGTGGTCAGTAGTTGTGGTCAGTAGTTTTGGTAAGTAGGTGTGTGGTTCAGTAGTTGTGTGGTTGTGGTCAGTAGATGTGTGGTTATGGTCAGTAATTGTGGTTACTCTTCACCCTCGTCAACATTTTTGCCTAAGCTGCCACGTGCTCCTCTGTGTCTGTGAGTATACATAGCAACGGTTCCGTTTGGGCTGCTCAATGATGAGACATGAGAGAGCTACTGCTGATTTTGTACGTTTGCCCACTGACAAAGACATGATCAGTCTATAATTTTAATGGTAGGTTTATTTGAACAGTGAGATACAGAATAACAACAAAAAAATCCAGAAAAACGCATGTCAAAAATGTTATAAATTGATTTGCATTTTAATGAGGGAAATAAGTATTTGACCCCCTCTCAATCAGAAAGATTTCTGGCTCCCAGGTGTCTTTTATACAGGTAACGAGCTGAGATTAGGAGCACACTCTTAAAGGGAGTGCTCCTAATCTCAGCTTGTTACCTGTATAAAAGACACCTGTCCACAGAAGCAATCAATCAATCAGATTCCAAACTCTCCACCATGGCCAAGACCAAAGAGCTCTCCAAGGATGTCAGGGACAAGATTGTAGACCTACACAAGGCTGGAATGGGCTACAAGACCATTACCAAGCAGCTTGGTGAGAAGGTAACAACAGTTGGTGCGATTATTCGCAAATGGAAGAAACACAAAAGAACTGTCAATCTCCCTCGGCCTGGGGCTCCAAGCAAGATCTCACCTCGTGGAGTTGCAATGATCATGAGAACGGTGAGGAATCAGCCCAGAACTACACGGGAGGATCTTGTCAATGGCAGCTGGGACCATAGTCACCAAGAAAATAATTGGTAACACACTATGCCGTGAAGGACTGAAATCCTGCAGCGCCCGCAAGGTCCCCCTGCTCAAGAAAGCACATATACAGGGCCGTCTGAAGTTTGCCAATGAACATCTGAATGATTCAGAGGAGAACTGGGTGAAAGTGTTGTGGTCAGATGAGACCAAAATCGAGCTCTTTGGCATCAACTCAACTCGCTGTGTTTGGAGGAGGAGGAATGCTGCCTATGAACCCAAGAACACCATCCCCACCGTCAAACATGGAGGTGGAAACATTATGCTTTTGGGGTTTTTCTCTGCTAAGGGGACAGGACAACTTCACCGCATCAAAGGGACGATGGACGGGGCCATGTACCATCAAATCTTGGGTGAGAACCTCCTTCCCTCAGCCAGGGCATTGAAAATTGGTCTGAATGGGTATTCCAGCATGACAATGACCCAAAACACACGGCCAAGGCAACAAAGGAGTGGCTCAAGAAGAAGCACATTAAGGTCCTGGAGTGGCCTAGCCAGTCTCCAGACCTTAATCCCATAGAAAATCTGTGGAGGGAGCTGAAGTTTCGAGTTGCCAAACGTCAGCCTCGAAACCTTAATTACTTGGAGAAGATCTGCAAAGAGGAGTGGGACAAAATCCCTCCTGAGATGTGTGCAAACCTGCTGGCCAACTACAAGAAACGTCTGACCTCTGTGATTGCCAAGGGTTTTGCCACCAAGTACTAAGTCATGTTTTGCAGAGGGGTCAAATACTTATTTCCCTCATTAAAATGCAAATCAATTCATAACATTTTTGACATGTGTTTTTCTGGATTTTGTTGTTGTTATTCTGTCTCTCACTGTACAGATAAACCTACCATTAAAATTATAGACTGATCATGTCTTTGTCAGTGGACAAACATACAAAATCAGCAGGGGATCAAATACTTTTTCCCTCACTGTAGCTACTTTTAGACACTCTATACTCAGACAAACAGCTGTAACTTTTTAATGGTAGTATATATTTCTGTTTAGATTTAAAACTTTTGTCTAACTTGTTTGGAAATTGGTCAAAACAGCAGTTGTTTGTAAAGGTTGAGACGGAAACTTGTGTATGCAGTTACTAAAACAGCTGTATCATTAGATCTGTACAATATACAGTGGGGAAAAAAAGTATTTAGTCAGCCACCAATTGTGCAAGTTCTCCCACTTAAAAAGATGAGAGAGGCCTGTAATTTTCATCATAGGTACACGTCAACTATGACAGACAAAATGAGAAAAAAAAATCCAGAAAATCACATTGTAGGATTTTTAATGAATTTATTAGCAAATTATGGTGGAAAATAAGTATTTGGTCAATAACAAAAGTTTCTCAATACTTTGTAATATACCCTTTGTTGGCAATGACACAGGTCAAACGTTTTCTGTAAGTCTTCACAAGGTTTACACACACTGTTGCTGGT